ACCCGAGCGAGTTGGCGAGTTGAGCTGTCGAGCGGCGTTTGGACAAGCTCTTGGTCTCCCCATGAGGGGTCTGAAGCCGCCCCGCAGTGCGCCGCAGGGCAGGGGGAGGCTAGATAGGTCTAGATAGAATTGAACCAACCGTGTTGAACTGGACTCGTGATTGATTTGAAGTCGATACGACCAATTTTCTGTAAGGAGATATGGCAAGAATTTGATTCCTCGTGTTCATTCAGCAGTCTTTATAGATCGTTGTAGTCTAGTCTTGAGTCTTGATCCAGAACAAGGAAAAACATAAACATCGGGCGAGCAGCAATCTCAGTGTACCAGCAGCCACTGGCACTAGCTTCACTAGCTATGATACCTCCACGATGCTTCACCCTGCTGGGGTTCACGCACCACATATTTCAACGTGGTGCACCTGTTGACCCTTTCGGCGGTGTCTTTCGGCAGTCTTTCGCGCTCAAAGCGCGCTGCTCTGAGCTGCACCTGCCACCGCCCCGGGGACAACGCGACGGCACAAGGCAGAGGGGACCAGGCACAAAGGCTAGTAGTCAGGCTATGGCTTGTGATTGTAGTGGTTGGTTGATAGAGGGGTACCTTTCCTGGGATAACCAATAGAGGGGTACCTCTCACGGCGCACGTCACTGAGTCTGTTTGAATGCTGAGATCATGGGACCGTTGAACATCGAAAACAGCCGACATATACATATATATATGTTTCTATACAGTACGTGTATATACTGGCATAACCATATCATATATGTGGGGTATAGTATCCTTGTGACACTGCACTCGTGATCACTACACTGCACTGCCAGACTGCGAAATCCATGGTAGGCGATCTTCTCGCGGATCCACCTGTTGGGTGTGTGTCCTAGGTGTGCACGCATGATCATCCATAGCAGGAGATTTCAACCGCCTTTGGCCCATCATATGAGAGAAACCAAACCATCCAAGGAGCCTATTGGGGATGGTCGGGAGATAATCCTGCGATGGCCCTGGAACAGACTAAAGGAACCGGGGGAGCCGACCATAGATTTGAGGAGAGAATGAGACTCGCACCCTGCCTGCGGGCATTTTCCTCTGTGACGTCGGTGGGTGTTCGGGGGGGGCACCTGTTTCTTCTCACTGGCGGATCAGGCACGGCCACCACATGGCCGAAATGTTCCCTGCTCGACGGGGTGTTTCACTCCGTAAAACCTGGCTGCTGTGCGTAAGAACTGTTCATTGGTGACGAGCGGCAATTCTGAGATGAGTGAATATAATATATTATATATATACAGTATATATGACAGTGAGTGAGTCATGTTAGGTGAGCCATAAGTCTTTGATCAAAAGGGCAAAATGAAGACATATGTGCAAGTCTGAGTAGAACGCCATGTCTTTATGGTTCACAGTAGCACCTCTTCACGATACTTCACGTCTTTTTGCCATTCAAAGTGCTGCGAGAATCGGGCACAGCAGCCGTTGATCAACTGAGATGTTTGAGCTCGTTCTGCCATCAGGATCCAGTTCATGTTGTATGGCCAGTGGTTGCAGTCACAGCATTCCAAGAAAGCAGAGAGGTTTGCGTCACTACGACCTTTCTTTCCTTATCTCAGGCATGCAGGGTACTAAGTACAAAGTGCAACTACCTTCACAAAAGGTCCTAAAAATCGTGTGGACATTTGTGCCCTTTTGGTAAAAACCTCAGGAGTAACCACGGACTTGCATCATCCGGACAGGGGTTTCCTCCAGACTCCATAGTCACCTGTGATGTCGAGTTAGACACGCACAGGTTTTTGTTTCCTGGATTGTTCTCCTTCAACAGGTTTCAAAAAGACGGTGTCGATCGATCCAAGCTGCTCGATCGTGCCTCCAAAACTCTTCTTTGAGGAAGGACTGGCGAATCCGGTTGGTACCATGAGCTGCTGGTACCATGAGCTGGGGCCCTAAGACGGCCCTGGTGCTGGATCCTGGTCGGTCGAGGTTTTAGAAGTCAAAGGTGCGGAGGAAAGAACGACCACGAAAAGCCAACAAGATTGGTGTCCTTTGCGGAGTCTGGACATGCATGTCCAGCCCAATCCAAGTTAAGATCATAGAAGTTCTTGTCCATTCTTTTCTCACACCATCCGTGTCAGGAGGCGTTGATCATTTTAGAGGATGAGCCATTGTCAGATGTCCATACAATCCCACCCATCATACTGGGGATCAACAACGACAAAAAAAAATATGACAAACATCGACCACTTGGAAACAAACCCGAGGTGACAAACATGGACCGTTGCACATCAAACACTGGACCTCGTGCCATGTGTTGGGTGTTTTCTGCTTTCGTGGAAACTGGCCGGTCACCTGAAAAAGCACAGATTTGAAAGAGTGCCTGGACGAGAGAAATAGAGAGCCTCCCTGGAATCATCATGGTTTCGTTCAGTGAGTTCCAGAGTTTCATCCATGGTCATCGTTTCGTATTCGTACAACCATGCCCGCATGGCCCGATGGTTGTACGAACGAGTTGAGCGAACGAGTTGCGGCTTTTCCCACCTGACCTGATCCGAGAAACTCTCCGATCCAACCGACGGACACGGTCCGGCCGGCCTCCAAGCGACGGACACGGTCCGGCCTACAATAAGAGATGCAAATGATACATAAATCCAGCATGGAGTTTCTATTTCAATCAAGGACTCTCATTATCTAGCTTCTGTTCCAAGATCTTCATCGACCTGGTTGTGGAACAATCCGTTCCGGCAAAGAGACAGCAGGCGACTGCACCCAAAGAGATTGTTTTCTTTGACTCCCAGGAAGGTGAAAGGAAGATCACACGGACGAGTTTGCTTGAAAAACTGGGCAGATGTTCACAAGGGGCTCATCCCTGCGTCATTTCAATAATAGACGAGCCGTCAAAACCGGGCAACAATTCTTCAGATACAGAGCAGGAAAAAGGCAGCCTGGTTTTGACTGACCATCCAAGCTGGCGTCAATAGTGCTCTGCTGGTCGTCAGCCTCAATGGTTTGACCAAAATCTTCGTACTGAATCTCATGGCCAAAAGCCATGTTCAAGTGCCTCGTGCAAAAGACGTGCTCATCAATCTCGCTGGTACTTTCACTTTGTATGTGTCAGCGACCCCAATGTGTTCATATGGTGTAAGGTGACCACACTGTGTGAAATTACATCTGAAAACCACCGAAAGAATCCCTGCAAGAAGCATATTCAAGCCTTGGATTTGACACGATCTGACGGGTTTGTGCAATTTGGAAATCCCATGAAATCCAAGGAGATCTCGCTCTTAGAGTTGTGGAATTCTCCGAACACACCAGTGTTGGGACCAGAACGACACTCCTCCGCACTGGCTTCGGTTCCCGGTCGGTTTGTGTTGTGGGAGAAGACGTTGTGTGAGGTCGACGTGTGTGGTGACCCCTTTGAGGGATGGGTCTTCTTGGTTCACCAGTTCAGAGAGCTTCAGACGGAGGTTCTGCTTTCATCTGAAGCCAGGATCAACAGTTCAGGAGAGTGGAAAACCACATCCGGAAGCAACTTCAATGGAGTCATGGGCATGGGCAACATGCTGTTGTCCATTTGATTGACAGGCCGGGCCCAAACAAATTGCAGTAAAAACGTTTGGTACACAGATATACAGCATATCCACATACACGAGGGGTTATCTATGTTTATTTGGATCATGTTCAAGTCAAGAGCAATGTTTAATTTGCAGTATATTATTACATATTATTACCATGTCCGTCATCCTTTGACTCAGATTCTCCCATGTTGGTCCTTCTCCAGTTTTCATGTCGAGACATGTCAAGGCACAAAGCGAGCCACTGCCCTTATTTGAATTGGTCAACTGGATCAGCTGGGGGTCAGAGGTCGTTCCGTTCTTGTCTTTTCACCTTTGTTGATCCCTCGTTTTCCAACGATGAGTTCCGCTGGTCTCAGCTTATGACTTATAACTCTCAGCGCCGGCCGTGATTTGCCAAGACTATATATACCAGAGCTATCCAGAGCTGTGTGAGCTGCGCGTCACCTTGGAGCTTCAGTCAGGCGTTCATGTTTTCTTTTGTGTTTTTGTTGATTGATAGAAGAAACGGCAGATGTACTCAACCTCCCCGTACTGCTGGTGAAGAGCGGACATGAACGAAAACAATCAAAAACTGATACCTCGTGTCATATGTCCGCCCTGCTTTCGGGCGTTTGTTGATACAAGCAACATGATGGTTAGCTCTCCCATGTCGTTTGTTTGGGTTGAACGTCGAGCAGTCGACTTGGAGCCGCAACGAGCCATGGCTCAAAGACTTGGAAGTTCAACTAGAAGGGGAGGAGTCCTAGGTGGATGATCAACATTGACACCTGGTTGGGTGGTTTCATGCTGGTGTCAATGTCTATTCAACCTGACGGTCCGGTTTTTTCATGCAGTCCTTGGAGTCCCGAAAAGCGGTTGGTCAGACTCCACACAACATGAAGACATCACACATCTTCAGATTAATCTCATGACTCTCATGACTCTCATGATTCCATTCTTCCCTACAAAAGGAGAGATCGGACGTCAGCACACTGAAAACCTGGCTTCATCTGGACTCCACTCAAAATTAGCGCCCATTAAGCGCGTATTTGTGACCCGGCCATTGTGGGAAAGGAGACTCCACTTCTGTCCCCTTGCCCGCGATGGCAATGGCTGGCTCCCTGTACTTGTAGCATGCACAGCCACAATATGCCACAATCAACGCAAGGATCGACTCAAGTGAATGAGGCTATTTTTGTGCGATCGACTTGCAAGTTCATGTTTGTCACGGCGAGTTAATGAGCGGTGAAGAAGTAATATTGTATAAATGATGGCATAAAATATCATTTAATTTCATTCGCATCAGATTCTCAATGTATACATTTGAACGACCATGGACAAAGACGTCCGCACAGTACCTCCGTGCTGTGCAAAAGTCTCCCCAACTTTTTAGCACTGGATAGCCAGGCTATCCAGGAAAAGTATACCTCATCACCAAACGCAATCCGTGAAACATTGGGTTTGGGTTTGGGTTAAAAGCTTTCTGGACTGGTTTGGACTTGTTGGAGCGTTTGGGTCACCATTTCGGCACCGCCATGCGCCATGCAGCTTTTCAGCCTTCGGCCACCGCAGGGCTGCGCTTTGGCCGGCGCGCTGCAACCCATCGGACCGCCAAGCGCCGTTCATGTCGGGTGGCCTTTCTGGGAGGATAGAAGGGGCTTCGCGGCCATGGAGGCCATCGCTCTTAAGTTGGAGGCCATGGAGGCCGCTCTTTTTTCGGTTGGAGGCCATATGATCCAGTTACGAAAAAGGGTTTCTCTACCCCGACATGGAACTGCGGGTAGGTGCAGCCGGAGATGGACGCTTGGTGTGGAGGTCTTCGGAACAATTTCTCAGCATAGCTACTGTACCATGCAGCCATGAAGCAAGGGGATATCCGGAGGCCTATATTCCCAGAAAATCCATGTATTCTAGCCTACATTGACCCCAGCGCAGCAACTCCAAGTGGCACACCTTGACCTTTTTGCACAACAATGATTTTGAGAGAGGTGGGTATAGCTTAACCCAGCATAGGTCAAAGGGACTCCAGACGGTTGCTTCGAAGGTCTAGACGGAAGGTCGAAGGAATGCAAATCAGAATTCACATCAATTTTCCTGGTTCTTCCAAGTGACACCCGGTGCGACCCGGAGACACTCGTTGTGAAGGTGGAAGCGGACATGGTGAGAAGTCGCCTGGGGGGTGTAGATATGAGTTTGTTTTTGATGGGGCATGCCCCAATTCTGTAACCTCAAAAGAGCAAGCACACACACACACATAGAAAAGTCATTGGGCAAGGTTCAGGGGTCTCTAGTCTACACCCAGATACTAATTGCGGGACAGGCTCGCTCGCCAGTGAGGAACCTCACGTTCATCCCAGATCCACCTTTAACTTATAGACTAGAGTGGCTAGAAAGGGCATGTTTATGTGTTCTCTCCCACTCACCAAGACCTTTGTTGGGAAAGCGCTTTCAGGCGCTCCTTCCATGTCCAGGAAACGTGTTCGACTGTGGGCATTTGTCCAATGAGCCATGCTCAAAACTCCTCCAAACCGAGCAAACCGAGTGCGGTCGCCAGGAGCCAATAGCATTTGGTCCGTGAACCAGTCGGCCGATCTCTTGTACGACCGCCTCCTTCAGGTGTGGTCCTTGTCATTTGGGGAGATCAAAGAATGATCACTCAGAAGTGGAAGTGTTTTTGGGCTGTAGACATATTCAGCTTCAGGAATCAACCCAGGATCGGCGCCAGCCGATGCTAGCCGCTAGCTAGTTTCAGAAAAGTGGATCGAGCCTTTGCCGCATCCAAGAGGCGTTCCTTTTTGGTGGGTATCAGTAGCTTGGGAGGCGTTTGCTTCGTCATGTTTGGAAGTTTGAAGATCTGTTTGATCAGGACGCAGGACGCAGGTCCAGCTGGCAGCACCTGCCCGGTAAGCTGTGAACACCTGCCTTTTTTATTCATCCGAGGATGAACCAGTTCGAGACCGATGCGATGGTTGAAGTGATTTTGGCGAAGCTCCAGGGATGTTGGAATTTGAGCTCCAGGGATGTTCTTAAAGAATTGGATTGGGCGTTGGGACCTTGATGGCTAAGCACAGATGGCTCTCAAGGTCCCAACAGACCTGCCCAGGTGGGGAGTGAAAACCACACCGGAGTTGCCTGGGATGTCCTCCATCAAAGAGGACTCAATGTGGTGCGGGGAGAATCTCTCAAGGTCTAGTTTGATACATGAGGAATCATGAGGACAGGGATGGACCTCAGGCTTCACATTGGTTTCACTAAGCCACACCAAAATCATCTCTTGTATTTGGGGAACTACGAAGCGACCATCTATAATTTCAGTCTCCACTGCACCCCTAAAGCCGCTTGGTTGAATTCTTCACCACAAGAAACATGGGGATTCTCCATGCACGCGGCCAGCACTGTTTGCCTCAAAACAGCAGCCCCACCCACACCGTCTGGAGGCCCACGCCGTCTGCATCTCTCCAGGCGGGTCTTTCTATGGACTTCGTGGCACCCGTGTCCGAGCTCGAGCGTTTTATTCAGGGCTGGGACTTCGACACTTGGCCCGCAAGGTGCGCCTGGTGCGCGGTTGCTTTGCGCGGTTTGCTTGGCGCATAGAACAAGATATTCAAAAAAGAAACGATCCAATTTGGAGGACCGGGGGGGTTCTGATTTGTTGAGATTTGATGATATATTACAGTGTTTCAGATGGGTTGTTGGCATTTGGTAGTTAGCGAGCAACCGGCAACCAGCATAGGTTTGTGGTGTTTAAGTATTGTTTAAACATCCCTTCACCGGCTCCACCAAAGATTCGCGGGTCGGTGAGGCGAGGTTCCACCGGGCGGGTGTCAGGACGAACAACAACGCTCTGTTCAGACGGACCAACAAACGAGTCACTCTGCAAGATCAAAGAAGCAAGAAGTCTGGCAGAAGCACAAACCATGAAGTGACATCCGTTTTTTGTTCCTCGACGTGTCCACGACTGTTGCTTTCACTTGTTGTATCTTGTTGTCACATTTGTCGCTTGGCAAAGGGCCTTTGTCATGTGCAGTGCCCCGTGCGTTTGACGCGCGGACATTCTTTGGTACAAAATCAAGCTTCAAGTCCAAACACATTGACGTATGCGAGGTACTTACGTGTTTCAATATGTCTTGGTATTTCACCATGCAAATGAAGTGTAACTTTCCCAAAGAAGTTACCTTTGTTTGTCCTGTTCTGTTTCTTTGGGGATGTGTTTTGGCTGAGGATTTGGATGACCCTCTGACCTTGGCGCGCTTCTTGCTCGGTGCGGTGTCGAAAGAGAGAGCGAGGTTGAAACACAAGACATCATCACAAATGTTTGGGAACGTTTGGGTATGGAATGGTATGCATGGTGTTTTTCGCATTTATGTCCTGCCCGTGTTTTTTGGATCCCCTGGCAAGCGGCAGCTTGCCCTTAGAATGCATTACCCCTAACCTTCCGCGGGATCGGGGCGTCCCACGGACAGAATGCTTAGCAAAGGCTTTCTCGTAGCACAGCTGGCTCCCTGGAGCCTTCTGGAGCCTCCCGGCTCTGACTGCTCACTACAAAGGTATCTAAATTCTTGAAGTTTCATGACTTATATAGGTCTTTCATGTGCCAAGTGAATGTGGATGTTCCCTCATCCTTAGAGCTCTCTGCTCCCAAACAGAACCAAATGAACCACATGGCCGTATTACATGGTACGGACGGAGCCAGCAAGAACTACTCCAAAAGTTTTGTACACACTTTGATAGAGCCTTTGTTTCAAGATTTTGAAAAGGCACTTTCAGGTGGATGGAGAGCGTCGACCTGTCGGAGCTGCAAACCGAAAAACTTACACTGTTGGCCAGATCTTTCTCGACCCTCTGCGGAGCCATGTGCTGATGTAAATCTGATTTTCTTTGAGGCCTCGAGGGCTGCCTGAGCCAGCTGGAAGCACCAATCACTGTGCCAGTGGGTATATACTGGTTGCGCAATATGCCCAGCTTGGACTTGTGAAACTTTCTCGGTTCGGCATTTTCGTTGCATTAGGGCTCAGGAGCTGAGGCTCGATCTTGGATTAGAAGATTATGTTTGGAGCAGTCAGATTTAAACACCTGAAGCTGGTAGGCGCAATGTGCACCCGAAGCTTCAATGCCTTGTCCCCACTGAGTATATGGCCAAGCTCATGGGGTCTTCTTGCAGGAATGAATGAGTTGGGAGAAAGCCCGTCACAATTTTACCAGTCAAGTCGATTTGGCCAGGAAAAAACCCGTCAACTTCCCAGCTCATTCCGAACTTTGAATTGTTATTGTTTTCAAAAACGGTTTTTTAAACGCTCATCGCTTTTCTGGGGTCAAAGCTTCCAGATCATGATGGGGCTTCTAGGTAATTAAAGCCACTCAACCAAATGTAGCTGGCCAGCAAAATTAGTGACGGTGCTTTGAAAAAAATATTGCAATTTGACCAGCCAAATCCATTGGGCCAGGAAACCCATCAAAATTTAACCAGCCAAACCTTTTTGGCCAGGAAAACTTCGAACACTTGGTATACCTAGAATTCAATCGCCTTTCAGTTGGAGTATATAAGTCTTGCAAAACTTGTTTGGCAGGGAAGACGTGTCAGGGTTACTCGTTAAATTACGTTGGTTCAGAAAGGACACCTGGGTTTCCAACAAAGACCAAATGGTAGAACGGCTGGGGTCTTGAGCTGGGTGCACTTGACCTTGGTAGGCTAGTTGAGAGTGCGGCATGGCTGCCTATCTGGCAGTCACAACCTCAAGTTTTTGTATTGTCTGGGTTTGTGATTTGTGCTTCTTGGAGTTTGAAGCTTCGAATTGGTTGTTCTTAGAACCGTGGCTTGTTGTGGCGATGGCAGGGCGATGTAATATCACGTCGCATAGAAGATGCACAATGAATCGTTTATACGAAGATTCAACATTTGACCTGCTGGCTTGGTTGCACGTGCGCAGCCTGGCAAATGAACTTGATGCTATCTTTTTCATTGTTTGCAAATTGCAGCCGGCGGAAAAAACTGAGGTCCTGTTTTGGAGTTTAACGGACGGATAGAAACTTGGACACCCGGCTCAGGCTAGATGAGCCTATATTTGTATTCCAGGTTCCGGGGATTTGACGCCTGGCACTGGGAAGACGAGCCCATGAGCAAAACAAAAATGAAAAAACTTCAATCTGAACTCCTTGTGTTGAGGCGTAAGTTTCGACCAGGGGCTGCTGCGAGCATGCTGCAATTGGTCCTTTTCTGCCGCACGTGTTTATACCGATTTGCACGCTTTAAATTCTATAAGAGACTTGTGTTGTTTTAAAATTCGGTTTCGGTTGGGAAATCGTGGACCTTCCGGTGCCGAAGTCAACGATCCCCCGCCTTGGCCTCCGACGGTCGTCCTCGGAAGACACCAGCGCTTGCGGCGGGGTATTCTCGGAGGCAATCCGGCGAGCGTGGAAGAGGCAAAGCTTCGCCTGGAGGAGTGCCGAGCATGGCGTCCACAGGCGAAGGGTTTGTAGTTGTCGGGGAGTCGTGGACTATTCACCCGGCCAATCTGAAAAAAAGGTGATGACATTTAGGGGAAAAACTATGTGTTTTTCCGCCCCCCCCAACACGATGTGTTTGGGATTGTTTTCAAGGTGTAAGATGCTTTTAAGTCTCATGTTTGAGATTTTCAGTTGTGACTCCATCCCTCCAGGTGGACTTGCCCCGCTTGATGCAACGCTGGGGCTACTGGACCACCGCAGAAAAACCGCCGCCGCACTGGGTGTGGCAGCCCCAGACGCCACGCGCCGCGGCAGTGGTGGCTCAGCGCCAATAAGGGATTGGGAGGTTAGGAGATGGAGGTGTTTTTTCAGTTCCTGACCTGCATAGTAGGTGACTAGCCTATTTTATAAAGGGATATAAAGCAAATAGGGCCGCAGGGCTCAGTGAGATGTAGAAAGACCCATGAACTCAAAAGAATGCACCTACGGACCATTCAGGAACCTGTTTCAGCCAGAATGGACAGCAAAACCATGGTCATTTGGCCCTCTTGATCTAGACAGTAGCTATGCGTGGTGATCATGTGCCAGCCGACAAGTCGGTAGTTTCTGAAGAAGAATTGTTCAGCACGACCAATGGGAGATCTACTACATTGACCCCTTTTCAACCCCAACTAATCCGGAGTCATATGCCAGTCCCATGAGGCGTCACTGCGATTGCTCAAAGGGATTAAACAAATAAGACGTTACCTCACAGATTGTGATCACAGGTTACTTACAGAATACTCACACAAATAGCTATGCCACTGTTTCCACTGGAGATGTTAAAAATAGAGGTCACCAAATTGACTCGCCCGTATAGGCCTATAGATCCCAGAAACAAGAACCATTCACCACCCAGCAGTGTCATCGCAATGCGCGATCTCCAAACCCACCAGATTCAAGGCACCATACTTCTTTGGCCGTTGCTGTCCAGAACTTCGCACTCAGAGTGGTGGCCCTGCCACTCGGAGGGCTTGGAGATTCTTGGAGCGTTCTTTTAGGGGGAGATGAAGATTCGGTGAGGATCGGCCAGGGGCTTGGCAGATGGTGAGGATTCGGTGAGGATCGGACCAAAGTCACTTTTCAATCACTTAAGACGGTCCACTTGAGCAAAACACGTGAAATCATGCAGATTGCTGCAACCACCCTGCGCCGAACCCTCCGCTTTTGGCCCACCATTCTGGGTTTTTGGTCAAGCGCTCGGAGCTTCTCATCTCATCGACCGGGCCTGCGACCTGAGGTGTTAGTGCTTCGCTTGGGTGCCTTCGACTTAGAAGGCGCCTTGCGAGAGAACTTGGTCGCCTCACGGCCCTGTTGATCCGGGCGGCGCATAGGCGGACGCGGGTGTGATGCGATGGACGAAGGACTCGACCAACGACGCGTCGGATGGAAGAAGGGCGGAAGCTCCGCCTCGACGTGTTTAGCGAACCAACCAATTCAGCGCCAACGAGCACCCCGGAGACAGGACCCCGGTGTACTCCAAAGAAAGAGGTCACTCATGTTCTAGGTCTATAGGGGTGTATGTAAATGTATGTATGTGTTTGTATATCGTCCCCGGATTGGACAACCTGTGCGCTGTGTCCCAAGAACGTGTGGTGCTAAGGAGGAACTCATGGAGCCGTGGATCTTCATGGTGGAGCAGTGCTTTGGAGCAGACTCTCCAGATCCCTCAGGCCCCCCTCAATCAAGGGGGTTCTTCATGGACATCGTCGATAAACACCCCAAACAGGGCACTGGTATGGAATATTTGATATGTGCCGATCAGTTGGGGTGGTTGAAAAGGAGTCGATGTAGGTATATACATGTGGAGTGTTTGACGTTGGGACGATGACGAGGCATGATGCATGCGAATGCATGGTGCAGCGATCCACAAAAATCATGATACATCATGCATGCCCCGAGAAGCAGTTCACAGGCCCAGGCGATGGGCTAATGTGTCACGTACTTTTTGGAGATCTTATATAGTTTAAAGAAAGTCAGGTGGAAACATGTTTAAGTTCGCCCGGTACGGTAACATTTGTTCAAGGAAACACTTAAGGTCTCCCTTTTGAACATGATCAGATCAGGCTGGAAAGACCTGATCGTCTCATATTCCCCATGGTCCAAACGATGACTCAGCTACCAGAGCATCCATGGGGCTGGCCTAGTTATCGATCAGGCCAGGGGTGGTTGACCTGGGGTCAACGTAAGCATAGATTCCAATACATAGATGGTTTGGGCGTTGGATACTTCATTTGTTTTCCATTGTGTTTTGAAGTCTTGAAACGTCTTGAAGCCCAAAACTAGTTCCACTGACAGGAGGTGGGAACGTTGAGAGGGAGGATGTGCGGCTTGCTGAGCGAATCCCATGTTTCTGCCTGCTTTCGGCTGCCCCCCACGGAAAACAACTCCTGCTTCAAACACAGAAGGCAATCTATCCCAAATGGTCGTGGAGTCCTTGCTAGGGGAGAGAAAAGGTAGCGCTTTGCCTGTTCGAGCCTAACATTGCCTGTTCGGGTGAAGAAGGGAACTTCACGTGCCTACGCCATCCATGCCCCGATTCGTTGGAACACCACATCCCGTTCGTCCAGTGGCGAGCGGAGTGCAGAGAGCACATCTCAGGACCTTCCAACTTTGTCGAGAAGTCGCTTTTGAGAAGAAGCGCCTGGCCACTGGACGAACTGAGGAAAATGGATGAACATCAGTGGCAGTGTTTTTTTTTGCGTTGTTTTTTGGGAGCCAGACTTAGCAAACATGTTGGAGAAAACCCGCTGTAGCAGTACACCAACACCTTCCAGCAAGGTTCATGTTTTGACAACGTTTCACCCGCTAATTAGATGGTTGATTTTCCATGATTCGTGATTCGTTCAAGATAGTTCAAGATGTTTAGAGCAAACATGGCCGTAACACGAGGAATTCAACACCTACTTAACGCAAAGTGAATGATTCCTTCACCCCGAACAAACTATTCATCGGAATATCCGAATCTCGATGAATCATCGGCTGGCTCCTCTGAGAAGGTCACCTCACAAGGTCAGCTCACCTCACGCGCAGAGCGCGGACTGGAAGAGTTGATGAACAAAACATGACCCATCCATGGAAGTAACCAAATCCAACATAAGTGCTTGCACCATCTTGCACCTGATCATATAGGTATGATTCCACTGATAAAGAATAGACTGATAACAACATGATAACACCATGAATGCTGGCGGTGAAACATTCCCCGCGAGGGCGACCGGCGCGCCCGCGGATTGAAGGAGGACCGTGACATACCGTGTCACGTCCTCCTGAGAAAATTTGGGGAAATTCGGGGAAAATGCCAAGCCTGATATTTTGGTTGTACTATGTTGAACTACTCACTACTCACTTCATCTCACTTTGTTGTTTTGTAACATGTTGTAAACAAAGAGTGTTCCTTCGTTTCGCTTATACTTGTAGTGACCACACATTAAGAACATGAAAACACGAGCAAACTTCCGCCAGACACCAGAGATTGCGCCGGCCTCGACACCGTCGGGGCTCGGCCGATCTGTGAGGTCAAGCTCGCATGCATCGTTGATATCGAGGGTGTGTCCTTCACATGGCTTCAGCATCTCTCAGTCTTGCAGCAGTGGCCCGGCTCGCATGGAGCTGTCGAACGACATCTGATCTGAACGACTCGGTCGACCGGATTTTTGGGGAGCAGACCAGACGGATGGTGACGGTGAAGAGATGTGAAGAGGGTTGGCTGGAAAGCGGGCGGATGTTTCCGCATGCTTCCGCTGTGTTTTCATTCCCGTTTGGGAGAGCATGACCGGGTTGAACGTTTGACAGTTTGACACGTCAAGGTGTAGGACCAAGAGAGGAGATGACATGAGACAACCTTTGACAGGAGCTCTTTTTGATTTTTGTGGGCCCACCCAAAGTATCAGCATATGTTTATGGGTTTGGTTCAATGAGTGTTTTTGGGTTTAATATGTGTATCCTTCTAGCTAGCACAAAATCCGGTGATTTCATATTTCACACCTTTTTTCACCCCTCAAAATCTCAAAAGATCAAAAGTCCATCATACACATGTCTGTCGACTTCCTGAATTTTCCACCGAATTGGACCCAAACGTCACAAACGTCACCAACCGAGGTTTGCCAAAGCCATCAATCGCCACTACCCCGAGATGGCGCAGACCTTGACGGTGATTCGAGCGCCGCACATCTTTACCTGGCTCTGGGAGGTGGCCGCACCTTTGTTGTTGGAGGCGTCTCCGTGCGTCTCGGCGCGCGGAGAAGGGCGTTCTTCTTCGGGCGCGAACGGCCTCGCGCCGTTCGTGGGTGTTCTTTGACCGGTCTGAGTGAGAAGGGGCCTTTGTCCCTTTGTTGGTATGATCGCAATCTCGAAAGAGAAGGTGCAGTAGAATTAATTACTTCGGTCACACCCATTGGGACATGTTTTTGGTCGGCAAGGAGGTGTTCAATTGTATTTGTTTAAACATCGATCAGACATGCCAACGGCTGCTGCGTTATTCACCATGTAATACCATGCCCAACAGGAACTAGCTTCCCGAACCACTTCATATCCTCAAAGGCGTCCTCATCTCCGCGAGAGGAGATGACGCTGAAGAAGGTCGCCATCTTGGGGCATGATTTCCGATGCTCGGCTGGAGATCAGAGAGAACCGGGATGCTTGCTTTGCCTCCCAACTGATGCAAGTGGAGAATCCCTACCAATCGACTACCACCGAGCGGGTGATGTGTTCGACCATCTTGCGTAGGCGCCAGAAGTGTTCAAGTGAGTACCATTTGAGAAGGTTGGTGGAGGCTCGAAATCACAGACGTCATCCAAGGTCTCCAGAATTTTGCCACCTTTGATACCCCTCAGTCCCTCAGACTGGGCAGCCTTGAACACCGGACCATTGGACAGGAGGGGCCCACATCTTTCAATAGACACCCCCCGAAAAAAGAACGTGGCTATGGCAGTGTGGACTGCATGGCCCGGTGGATGACGTGGATGACCATTTTCCGAATATCTTTGACGTGCATTTTCTACTTCCATGATGACTTCAAGGAGGCAGACCCGGACCCCGACTCGACCGCTTTGGCCTTTCAACTGGACCGCTGTTCTCCCATCGTTGTCATCCACAGACCTCAAGATGTCACGTGGCTGTCGCTGGGTGGTGTTCTGCGGCAAGAGCAGCCCCTCCTTGTACTCTCATCCAGGAAAACAGGTGAAACGTGAAGCAATACCCCGTTAACGCACATGTCACTTTGGATCCAAGGATATACAGCCCAAGTTCAATCCACTTGGGACTGTCGTGGTCATTCTGAGTTGACATGTCATGTGATGCTTACTTAGGTCGTGTCCTAGATCTGGCCAATGCAACCATGTTCAACCAGTTGGATTGATGGAAAAATGACGAACAAGGCATTCTTCCTGGGTTGGAGGACTTGGAAATAGAGGTCTGAGTCTGGTCCATCGCAGCCAATTTGCGATCATCCATGCGTCCTGCTCTTCACATCATTGACTCAGGTACAGGGGATTTCATCCTAGGATGGTACAGAGTAGATCAGTATCCATAAAGTTGCCAAAAGGTGTTCTTTTGGCAAGATAAAGCTTGTCACACTGAAGATCCAACTTTATAACCTCAAATTAACACTGCGTTCAAGTGCGCAAATGCCTCTAACCACCAGGGTGTATGATGAGAACATTTCTGAGAACTCATCTCTTTCTTCGCAAAGGATCTGTAGGGTTTTCCTTAGGTATTGTATGTAAGTCTTAAATTGATTTAAATTCCATTTTTGGGAAGGTGTTGGTACTGATTTCCTGGCTTCCACCCCACCTGAGGCGAGGGCTTGGCGGCACACGCCGGTGTGGCGGCTGCGGAGCTACCGAGCTTCCTGGGTGGTGGTGGTGAGGAGGTGCCGCGACCGGAACTGGTTCCACCAGGTGGGGGAGCCGAGGTACGGATCTGGGAGGGTCATTAGCGATGCACTTGTTTCTAATAGCTTCTTGTTACTACTAGTAAGGCACTTGTTACTAGTAGCGATGCACTTGTTTCTAGTAGACTTTTGATGAGTGAATCCGCCAGAATTGAAGATGTTGTTCCATCCAAATGGGAGGGGTTATTCATCAAGAGTCTAAGGGAGGTCGTTGGGAGGTGTTTGTTTTGTGTTGTTTCAGATGGGTCAAGTGTTGAACTACATGTCATGTAATTTTTCGATATGAGTTTTCTATTCAAAAGTGTGGCCGGAACGATGGTTGGCCGGAGCCAGTTGGACTTGGGAGAATCATCCGATGCTCACCTATCCTGAACATGAGTCCGGGTCCATGTCGGAACCAGTCCAAATCAATGCAAAGTTCCAAGCCAAAGGCTCATTAGAGCAACATAGGGTTTTGACATGAGAGCAACCCAGCTGTTTGAGAGCAGCCTCGACGGACGGAATCGACCTAACAAGTCAGTGACCCCAGCCTCGGCGGAGTCGGATTGGGCGTCCTGGAGGATGAAATGACACTGTGAGTCATAAGGGCTTATATGGATCCACATACCGAACCTGAGATATGGTGTGGAAGGATCCGATTTATGTAGGCGCCAGGAGGGTCCAATGACCTTCTGAAAAGGTGGCAGTGGATCCATATAGGGAACAGGGAAGGACATTCATACACTCCATGCCATTCATGTGACACTTGCACCTCCCTGCTTCGAGGTCACGAAAAATCTGGATGGTTCCTGGTACCGGCGATTCCTAGAAAATCACACACAAAATAGAAAAAGACAAACCTTCTAAAAACCATCTAAAAGACCTAAAAGGCACCAAGAAACCTTCTAAAAACCTTCTATATCTAAGTTGTGACCCAAAAACCTTCTAAATGGCACCAAGCTCAATCGGCTCCAGGAGTTGGTGCCCGATTGCCCTCCAGGCGCGAAACCCACCGAAACGCGGGCTGCGACCCGTTCCTACATGTTCGAAGACTCCTTTGGAGCTGATTCCAGTGCCGCTGTGGTAGAAAACCACCAAGGTCATACTACAGCATACAGCAAGACTCGAAGACTCCATTGGTTTCCGGCCTTCAGTGCTATTGAGAAAAAGATAGAAAATGGGGACGATTGAGAAATTCTTTGAGTGAAGATCTTAAGCTCTTTTTCGTTCTCCCGGACCGCGACGATGGAGATGGTCGCCCCCTGTTTTTTTTAATACCCTACGGCTCCAGTCGTACCTTCTCAGAAGGTGTGGGTGCCAGAAGGGTCCAAATACCTTCTGATGAGATACTCTACGGAGGTGTTTTGTGTATGATGATCGGCAAGACCTTCAGTGGACGATTGAACTCCTCCTCAACTTGCATCACTGGCTGCGATGGGCCCTTGCTTGACTCAGAACCTGAAAAAAGTTCACCCTGCCCCACCTGAGCCGTGCCCGGCAAGCAAGGTCAAATGGGCAATTTTGAGGCTCCAGACTCTAGACATTGGTGCGTATACATCATGCTGGTACAATATCATACATCATATTTCAATCAAAAGATTGATACCTGGACATGAAAAACACTCGTTCTTCAAAAACATGAGAAACCTCCGTTCGTCGTTGAGAAACCCGAATGCCTCGCCAGGTTGCACTACGAGACGACCGGAGCGCCGGCGAACTCGCCGGAGCCAAAGGATCCGAAGGCGCCGATCTGCGGTGAACGACGGTGCAACGCCATGCGCACAACAGGGGGGCAGGGGCGTTCAGGAGCAAGGTATGGAACTGAACACTTTGGCATTTCGCGTGGAACTGGGAATGTTCCTGGAGGTTGGCATTGACATGTGGTAAAGGAGGGAACCTGGCAAAGTCAGACATTTGACTTATAGGCAACCTGTTAGTAAGGAGCCCACCTCCCTTCCAACGAGCTTAGGTCTTGTGCTGTGTTGCAACACCCAGCCACTCATGTGGTTTCGCTTGAGTATGAGTACAAAGAATCACTTTTTGGGGATGTGTTTTTCAATGTCACCTATAAGCACAACCTCTTGATTTGTGGCCATACCTCTCGCTCGCCTTCTTTTTTTGTCGAATTCGCAGAGGCCAGCAAGCAGACCTGCAGGCCTTTGTCACAGAGCCCTTTGGACGTCATTGAACTTGGTGAAAACAGACATGGACCTCCAAACCAACACGGCTTGGGTAAAGGGAAGATAGGGAAGGTCTTGTGAGGGAGTTCTCCTGCACCTTTATTATATCACTGTGTGATGCTAAGGAGTGATCCTATGGAGATTAAGCTCGCGCATGAGATATCATGAGATCCCGTTGTTTTTTCCATGTTCATTTTATCTTGTGTTGCGGAGTTTCTTACGCGAACACTGGGTGGCCTTCAAATCAACAGGATGCCTTGGCACCCGTTCGGTCTTTGAGATGTTTGTCATATTGAATAAAGACTGTGGTCTAAGGACAGGCAAATGGATCAGTGCGACTACAGGAAGGGATCGGGCTCACGCCATGGAACTGTTGGTATTGAGAACAATTGGAAGGTGTCGACAGGTTCATTTTATAGAGGTTGTATAAGAGAATTATTCTGAACTTTTTGTTTTTAAAAGGTTTAAGCTCCTTTAAACATTTAACGGAGTGCGCCGTCAAAAGGGATTGCCATATCATCTATTTTATACGAAGTTATAAAAATCAAAGGATAGCGATAGGATTCAAAAGGAAGCTTGAACAAATTGCTGGTTTGATGAACATATTTGTGGTGATGGATGCAATCACAATTTGATAATCACCGAGGACTTTTGCTTTTCACCTGCTGGCCTTGTCGATAATTACAAGGAATAAATATACATTATATATATATTATATTATATTGGGTTTTATTAAACATATATTATAAGTTAAATTCAATAATTAATTCTATAATATTAAATAAGAAAAGGTAGGTAATTTGTCGAGCATTATTTTGAATTTGTTTTGCGAAATTAAGGAATTGATTTTAAAATTATTTATTTGGAATTAGAAATTAATATATTTATGTGTTAGATTATTTTTGTTTTTTATGTAATGATTTATTGATAAATTGATAATTATATGTTTTTTTAAATATTATGGATGTATTATTATATTATAAGGGAAAAAAAAAATATGTAATTAATAATAATAATAATATGATTTTGATTCTTTTATTTATTAGGTGAGGGATATAAAATTGTATTATAATTATTATGGTTTTTAATTTTTGTTGTTAATTTATTTCGCCGATTTTATTTTGTTGGTTCCGGATCGTAGTGTGTGCGTTTTAGTTTTTAATCGCGTGGAATTTCGTAATGTATGTCCGTAGATTTTAATCATAAGGATTTATAAGGATTTCTTTATAATTTGTTTTCTTGGATTTGTATCGTAAGGAACCGATCGTAATATATATTTCTGGACCTTAATCGTAAGGATTCGATCGAAATACGCATTTTTGGAATGTAATCGTAAGGTTTCGATCGTAATGTATATTTCTTGAGTCTTAATCGATAGGAACGGATCGTAACGACCTTAATCGCAAGGATTCGATCGCTATGTGCGCCGCTAGATTTTAATTAGATAAAATCTAAGATAGGATAGATAGAATGCTAGAAAATATATTAGATAGAAAGCTAAATAATATGTTAAATAGATTATTTTAAAAAAAACAACTAAAATGGCAGATAATATGTTTTAAACATATAACCACAAATACAACCACAGATTCACAACCACAAATACAACCAGAAACACACAATCACAAATACATAATCCCAAACACAACCACACCACACAACCACAAACACAATCACAAACCCAACCACAACACACAACACACAACCCCACATAGACACAACCACAAACATAACAATAAACACCCAACCACAAACATAACAACAAACACACAACCACAAACATAACAACAAACACACAACCACAAAGACACAACAATAAACACACAAACACAAACACACAACCACAAATACGCAACCACAACAACACGATCACAAAGACACAACCACAAATACGCAACCATAACAACACGATCACAAAGACACAACCACAAATGTACAGCCATAAGCACAACCGCAAACACAATCACAAGTACACACACGCACAAACACACAATCACAAACACAATCACAAACACAATCACAAACACAACCACAACACAACACACAACTACAATACACAACCGCAGCACACAACCCGAGGATCCACAAGCAAAATCGAGAACTACAATACTCACGACCATGGCAACATGCTCCTCACTCTGGCATCAAATCAAATGATTGAAATGTCATGGTGGTGATCATTGGAAGTAAAATAAATTTTTATGGAGAAATTTTTCGTTTCGTTTTTTCTTTAGCGTGACGATATTCTATTATATGGTGGAATATTAATTTTATTGTTATTTGGATTGCATTTAAAAAGGCCTATTATAAAATTATAGATAAATGATAAATATAAATGTTTAAGGTTGGAAATATATTTCTAAATCTTCGTTTAGAAGCGGACCTTTAATAGATTATGGTGATATAATAAGGTAACGTTAGATTGACACTAGATTTTTGTATAATAGGATGAATAAGTAGGAAAAAAAATCGATAATTATTTAATCCGTCTCTATCTTTCGTGTTTTTACCGTTCAAATATATATATATAATATATAAATTGTATTATTTTGTTGAATAATATATTCGATTTCTTTTATTTTTTAAAATAATAGAAATATTGTAAGTTACATATTTTAGAATTTTTTGTGTTGTTGGTAAATATGTATGTGTCATTATGATGATAGTAAAGATTATATATTTTAGGTGATTTATTATTGTGTTAATATGTCTTATCGTTGAAAATATTTAATTTATTTATATATATATTTTTTTTTTTTTAATATATCGAATTTGGATATGATTTATATTATCATAAATAATTTTATCTAATTTTTATAATATATTTATTAGGAGATTTTTATAATTATAGAAAAATAATATTTTATTTCGGATTATTTGACATGCAATGATTAATTTTGTTAAATTTTGGATTCGTCATATAATCGATATATATGATATTATTATATATTGGTTTCCGCCTGCCGATGATTATATGATTGCAACAATATCGTATCTTATAATTATTCTAAGTTATAAAGCCAGGGAAATCAATATAGTAAATCGTTGATTTGCAATTATTCAGATCTATTTATTTGTCCTTTAAATATGATGCATAATACCTATTATTTCTGATTATCATTCATGAAAAGGATATATAAAAATAATCATAAAATCATCAATCCAATCAATTTCCACCCCAGATGCATGGTCCATTCGCCTAAATATTTGATATATGAATCCATCAAAGATTTTCTTCCACCATATTGGTCAAATTCCCCCATGGATCATATTGTAGAATCACAACCAATGATGGCTTCAAATTCGAATTATCAAATGTTAGCAAGCAATTGATTCCGCCATGGTTGAAATCCATGCACCAGACGTTCTTGTCCTCATCCCGGATTATCCTGTTAGTCAATTAAACATCCCACCTGATATATCCTAATCTGCGGCTCAGAATCCATCGTTGACATGCCCTGAATATCATTATTAATATAATCAAGTTGGATTGTTCAAACGTCATATGATATATTTTTGCAGATTCCATTTTTGCCAATCTATTGCGCGATTCGTATTTAGATACGACTATATATAATCATTATAAAATATATATAGATGTATTTAATTTGTTTATAATCAAAACATATATAAATAAATGTGTTTATCTTGCATTCACTTTGCACCAGGCAATGGTGATTCTAATAATAGCTAGATAAGATTTGTATATGCATTTGTACCCAAAAATATATATGGATTTCTTATTGGACCAAATATTATGCTTAGATAAGATATATCTTTTGCAATCTACAGATTCATTCCAGGATTATGATTCGTCATTACCGTGACAGCCATCAAGAATTCATTGGCCATGCAATAAATCATCAGGAATTCATTCGAAGATTTGCCAATTTCGGGTCAAGCCGAGGGGAATGCCTGTTATGCCGAATCAAGATATTTAATATTCAGATATATCAATGTTGTATAATCTTTCAATTGGCGGCAATGATCGGTTACATCTTTCAATTAGATCATTTTCCCATCATGCCTTGTATAAAACGAACGTGATATCCTGGGGTTGGTCTAGGTATTTTATATTAATAATCAAGAAGAATTTGTTGTATATCAGCGATTGGAGGTATTCATTCTCTTACGGCCCGATTTTGTTGCGAACGACAAAATATCCGTGTACATTTGCGATTAAAATAATAAAAATCTATATAATATAATTCATTAACTAATCAAATTCCAATATATAATATAAAAATATTCAAAATCAAATCAAACAAAAATCCATATATATATATATCTATCATTCGTATCCTATAGACCGGCAAGGTCATGATCGAGCAGCTCAAGGAAGCCGTCACACGCTATGGCCTGCCTCTTGCCAAGGTCCAACGCTCCACTATCAAATCCCTTCAAAGTTTGGTCAGTATCGGAGCGGCCCTCGCCTGTTAACTCTGCCTCCTCGGCCAACAATCACCCAACTTCACCAATATGCAACATCTTTTCCATCTCCAGAGGGCCCTTTCCACCCTCATTCACCAATCATAATATATTGAACGTGCAGACGCCCTCTTTGCCATTGGACTCATACATCTCATATTGCTCTTCACCTATCCCTCCAATATTCACCGCTCACGGCAGTGGCGAAAGCGCTTCTGCCAATTGTACTTCCCCACACCTACCATTTCCACAAGCTCAAACAACTCCAAAACAACATTCCAATCTCAGCCGAACTCTCCCTACGATATTGGCACGCACACAACAACATCCACCACTTCGCCACCATCCAACAGGTCGCTAGCAATTACCTCTACTTTCAATCTATAACTAGATCCAATTCTATTACGATTGCATTCAAAAGCCCACAATAGGCCAGAAAGTGTTCAAACAATCAATTCAAGCAATCTTGGACCATAGCTACAAAGTCGTGCTATTAGGATTGCTGAATGACGAAAGCTTGTGGGTCGTGCTCAGGACGAAAGCTTGTAAATCTAAAGTGCAAGAACTGAGGACTGTTGAGCTGTCCGCGGTGGCTGACTTTTGCAAATCACGACAAAATTTATCGTTAATTTTTGTCGCTAATTTGTTTCGCTAGCTCCGGATTGCAGTGTGCGCGCCCTAAATCTTAACCGGATAGGGCCTCGCAATGTGTGTCCGTAGATTTTAATCGTAAAAATTTCTTTACAATTTCCTCCCCTAGACTTCTACCGTAAGGAGCCGATCGTAATATTTATTTCTGGACCTTAACCGCAAGGATTCGATCATAATGTCCGCCTCTACATTTCAATCGTAAAGATCCGATCGAAATATGCATCCCTGGAGTGTAACCGCAACGTTCCCCCCTGGGCTTTAACCGGCAGGAGCCGATCGCAACGTACTCCGGTACACCTCAACCGCAAGGCTCCGATCGCAATGTGCGCCGCTAAACCTCAACCAAATAAAATTTCAGATAGGGTAAATAAAATGCCAGAAAATATATCAAATAAAATATCCGACAAAATGCCAAATAGAATGCCAGACAATATGCCACATAATATGTCAAATAACTTGTTGAATAGAATGATAATTTAAATGACAGATAATATGTTTCAAACACATTACCACATGCGCACAACCACTAACACAACCACAAACACAACCACAAGTTCACAACAACCACAAACACAACCACAAACACACAAATACAAACACGCAACCACAAACACACAGCT